ATACTTTTACTTTAAAAAATATTTTCCTGAATTTCGAAACCTGTCCGTTACGTCCCCGACTTATTTTCTACTTTTGTTTCTTTTTGAATTATCCCCCTTTGCTAAACAAATCAAATCGTCTGCATAACAACAATACAGTTTTGGGAAAGAAGGAAAGAAATCGACATACTTTTGTTAAATGTTTGGCTTTGAGAAGTCTGGTATGAACAATAGAATTCTGAAGAAACGTTTTTTATGCTACCAAAGAGAGGAAAAACCGTTAGTCTGTTAAAAGTTGGGAAACGAATGATCGAGAAAAACGACACTGCATGAATGAGGACAGATTCTTTTATTCTTAAACAGTCGGCAGCAGAATTTTTCAGGTTTTACAGCATTGATGGGTTGTGATACATATTTATTTGTTCGGTTTGGAATTCAGATGAAATGATGTGCAAATGAAATCAAAAATTTCTGTGACCAACCGTTAGAACTGTTAGGATATTTGAGTAGCTTCCCTTTACATTTACGAACTTATAACTTTCTATACCCTAACACAACAGGTTAGTTTTTTTATGTTAAAGAACTGTAAATTATTTCAGAGAATTTTGGTAATGCCACGACAATATTTGAGAATGTTTCTTCGTTTGAGCCATTTTGATTTCCAGCAACGTTAACGTTGTTGTGATGTATTCGTGCGCACTGTTTTTGATGCGTAAATTTAATAGAAAGGTGAAAGAAAGATTCATTTTATTAATTCAAAAGCATAATTAAATGATAAGAAATGAATGTAATATTTTTTCCTTTGATCGATGTATCAAAGAAAAATTTGGACGGAAAACTTTTCAATTAATGCGCTACGCGCATTCATGAAGTTTTCCGTCCAAATTTTTCTTTGATACATCGATCAAAGGAAAAAATATTACATTCATTTCTTAAATGACTGAATGTTTTCTTTCTCCTTCTTTTTCAAACACTCTAGTAGAATTCAATATTTTATATGAATACGTTTGGGATAATCTAAGACCATAAGTATTAATCTTTTATTGTTTTTTTTTCTTAAAAATCTAGCAATACCTTTTTAATAAATAATCGCAGAACTATTTTGATCAGCGCGCAAGCGTAAAACGTAATTTATAAACCTTCCCTTATGATAATTAATTGCAGAACTATTTATATCAGCGCAAGCGTAAAACCTAATTCTTTAACTTTGCCTTTTGCTTATTAATCACAGAGTTAATTTTTTAGCGTAAGATTAATCATTACCTTCTGAACACAATGAAAATTACAACAACAACCAAACACACAATGATGGCAGCCACGACACCTCCTATGATTGGGGCAGTATTGGTGCCCGGTGGATCTGGGGCACTCACCTGCAAAGTGAATTTATTTAATAGTGTAAGATCCACTAAGAAAAAAATAAGGATGTAGAAAATTTGTTCAAAGTGCTGGTTTATTTTGGTGCTTTACTAAATGATAAATAACTGATTAATCTACACTTAATTATCTATAATGACACGAAATAACATTTCATCTTATGCTTTCCGAAAAAAAAAAACAGTTTTATGCGATACATTTTGAACCATGGTATTAATAATGATTAATTTTTATGTCTCGTTTTTTTTCTTGGATATAAAAACAACATGTAAACATAATATTATATTTGTGTGAAATACTTGAGTTGATCAAAACATTATAAATTAAGAAATTTAAAAATAAACGAAAGAGCGTGTGTCTGACACTCTTAGGTTCAACATAAGTAGATACTTGTTATAATAGCCTTTTTCTTAATCACTTAACATCATATTTTGTTAGAATACGTATGTAATTTAACTGCACTTGGAAGCCGCTAATTCAAATTCAAAAAACTGCAGTATATACATTAGGTACACCTCTTTACTTTACAGGAAGTTTATATGACATCCTTTTTTACGAGAAACTTAATTCATTAATCTTTCACCAAGAACATTATTGTTTTCCTGAATATTAATTGAAGTGGTAGTAAAACGTTCATGGTAGTGTAGTAATGCATCTTTTTCAAATTTGTTAAATTTAGGACCATTTCAGTAGAAAGCATATTCGTACAACAAAATACAATTACATTTGTGTGTTGACTTTATTTTTTTAAAAATCAAAATCAGTCTCTTATATAATATAAATATATGCAAATATATTCATAAAACATCTCAACAGTAACTATTTCATATATCAAGATTACTTTGGATCGAAAAAATTGTCAAGTACCAAATAGGTATACCTTATCCAGTATGCTTAAATTGCACGAAATTCGATTAAACACTTAATGAAATCAAACTTAAACATTATAGTTTACCTGTGGACAAGCTCCTGTCACTGCGTTACATGTTTTATTAAAACAATCTGTGCTGCATGTTTCATTACACCCGTAACCATGGAATCCCCAATGACACTCTTAAATAGCAAGAAGGATATGGAGATAACGAATGGTATTCAATCTCAAAGTCCATAAAACAAAACAAAACAAGATCAGAGCAAACACGGACCTCCAAAACATCAGAGGTGGGATCAGGTGCCATGGAGGAGTTAGCATCACCTGCCGACCGGTCACACCCGCTGTGTGTTCTTTGTCATGTTTGTGAAATAACGGAAAAATCCGTCGTCGATTCAGTGTATGAATAATGGAATAACAATTGGTATGAAAAACTTCAGTCAGCATTTGACTCAATGATAAATTGTATTTGCTAACAAGGTCATTGTATCGACCATAGAACTTAGGAAATGATGACTTTAAAGGAGGCCACTGATATTCTTGTTTCATCAACTTGCTTGTCAATAATTTACCTCGTTTCAGAAATTGTTCATACGTAGAGCATGTTCTTACGTATCGAATCAACTGAGATATACACACTCCGTATGCACTTGATGAAGGTATATTGCTGCATAAGTAAGGGAAGTTGACGATAGAAAATTTAAAGTCATCACGTTTATCATATAACTTGGTTGTTAGGTTACCATTAACGTCTTTTTCAAGTAAAATATCTAAGTATGAAACAGATGTGTCAGACTCCGTGGTATCTTTTATCTCTTGGATATTTCGTATCGACGTAGGAATGGAAATTACCATTGTTAATTAACAATACGTCGTCGAAATATCTGAAGGTCGAGTTGAAGGCCACAGCAAATGTTTTCTTCCTTTCACGCATAAGATATTGCATAAATTCAAAATAATTTTGAAAATGACCAATGACAAGGTAAGTAAATTTAAGTTCCATTTTTATTGAAAAAGAAGCTGTCAATGATATCAAAAAGCCTGGATTTTAATTTATCGTGGGGATTGGTTGTATATAAAGTTGAAAAGTCGTAAGTTTTTAAGCTGTTGATTTGGGAAAAATTTTGTTATTTCAAATTGTGTAAAAGTTCTTTTGAATTTTTAAGTATCCACATCTAATTCACGCCACTTCTTGAATATATGGTAGCACTGTACTCTTGAAGTTTTTCCTTCACTACTGTCAGTATCTTAGTGAGGAGTAACGAAAGAGGCTTGGTTCAACATTTACTGGAACCCGCAATGTATCTTTGTTTGTAAGGATTCTTATAAAGTTTCGGAATCCAATATATATATAAGATAATTCAATTCATTTTGGCTCTGTGGAATATTAAAAATATTCAAAACTGACATTTGATTTTGAAAAATTTCTTCCTTAGAGAGGAAAGTATAAGTAGGATTACCATTTGTGGAATTAAATCCAAGTTCTTCTAGAATAAAATTTATATAATGAGCCTTATAAACGAAGACAATGCTTTGTCGTCAGGGACCAATTCGTAATGATCATGTATTCTTTTTTTCACTTCTGATTTACTGAACACAGAAGGATAGATGGTTTTCATTTTGCCCCTCCATACGCCACTTTAACATAGATCTAATACGTTTTATACATTCTGACAAGGTGTCAACGTCTTCTTTTTCATATCTGGCCCATCGTCTGATCATTTTATTTTTTCAATATATATTGCAATATTCTATAATAATATAATAATGAAGATAAATTAATTAGCATTATAAACCAGATTTATGTTATGGATGATTATAGAGTTAAACCCTTAATAATTAATTATTTGGTATTTATGACTTCAATGTTCAGACAGATATGAAGCTTATTTATTGACAAAATAAAACATTGTATATCTTTAAAAATGAATTACATTAGACTTTTATATAATTTGAAAGATATATATATGAAATAGAGAAGAAAACATTAATGTTACCTTGTGTACAGTTGTTCCCTTGGTAACCTTGATCGCAGCCATACAAGCATGTTCCGTTTATGTGATGGCATTGTTCTTTTTTAAAGCAGTTACCACACATCTGAGAACATCCTTCTCCAAATTTCCCATCATCGCATTCTATGAAATAGGAAAAAATGTAAACAGAAATTGGATCCTTTTTGATAAAATAAAGATATATTTAGAAATCGTTGGTCCCTTTACTCCATTTAATATTTTGAATTTTACACCAGAAATTCATTTAGTAGAGTTAAAGAAAAAATAAAATAATGAAATATATTTTCATACTTTTATCACACTTTGGCCCTTTCCACCCCGGTTGACATCCACTTTGACATTCCCCTGTCTCTTTGTTACATCTACTAGGGACACCACAGTTAATGTTACACGTGTCCTCACAGTTGTAGTTATAAAGTCCAGCAGGACATTCTAAAATGAATTGAAAATAAGTTATGAAAATAAAAATACTAATTATGCAAAAATGTGTTTTGACACATTCCAAAGGGAATTTTCTCATTTTATAGGTGAGAATATGTTATGCCAACTGTCAGAATAGACGCGATATTAATTATCAAAGAATTTATCTTAAGGAAAAAGAAACACTCATTAATTATCTTAATTTTGAATTTTAGGCATCTGGTAGCTTTAAGTTAAATAGGTATTACAATTTAATTTAAACCAGATTATATTATTTGTTAAATTGTTTTGAAATGGTACCTTGAGTATTTCAGTTTTGTTAATAATTAAAACGTGCTCACCTTCAGTACATTTGTCTCCCTGAAACCCTCTGTCACATCTATTTAAACATGTCCCATTTATGTGGTGACATTGTTCCAGATTCAAACAGAAGCCACATGAAGTATTACATTTTTCACCGTACATCCGTCTATCACATTCTACAACATCATATTATAATCATTATAATGATAGATCTAGAATTTTCAGAGGTATTTTAGAATGAGAAAAAAGATAGTTGAAGGGTAATTGCAAGAATCTGTACAAATAAGAGATATGGTACATGAATAAAAAAAATGTTGTGGGAAGAATTCTTCATTGCCAAGAGTTAGGATTATACATTAAATAAATTGTAACTATCATGTCCAATTAAACGTATGCATTGAATTGACCTGAGTCTCTGACTTTCATCTTGTTGCTTTTTTATATAGTCTTCGTAGCAACTTTATCAATTAAAATAGAAAAATAATAATTTAAGTAAGATTTTGTTACAGAAATGCTCTCAAAACTTTCAAAGTATATGTTGTGAATATAAAAGTGGAAAAATTGATTACTGTTTTCACAGAAGTCTCCCTTCCATCCAGCGATACACCCAGACTCACAGACACCGGTGAATCTGTTACAGCCTCCTCTACAGGTTGAGTTACAGAACTCTACACAATTCTTTCCGTGTCTACCAAATGAACAGACTATCAAAAAGAACATTTGTTAAATTATATTTACATTTATTTTGTTTGATTCCTGATAAATAGCATTATAAAATTACAAGTGATAAATACACATAACACACAAGACCAAATCACCAAAGTCTGTCTGGCGTATGAATACAGGGACCACGCCATTACAGTTAAAACAAAGCGAAAAATGCATGTCTTTATAGTATTCATTTGTATTTCTTTGTTGCAAAAATATAGTTTATCATTTTAGATTGAAAAATAAATAAAACTTTGATTATTGTTATCTGTTTTATTGTGCACTATATTCCAGATTCAGCTATTCAGCCGTTCTATCGATTGCAACTTACAAGATGGATAAGCCTGAATTTTAAATAGACAATCGAATTGCAGAAAATACAGGGGCTACAAACTGTAGATATAAGTACTGAATTATCATTTTTTGAAAGATACAGTCTCATAACTGCAATAGTGTGTGCAAACAAATTGAGTGACGCGCGTTAGCGCGTTGTGAAAATTTGTTCGCACACATCATTGCAGTTATGAGACTGCATCTTTCAAAAAAATGATAATTCAATGCTTAATTAACAATTCCCGTTTGAGTATAAGATCAAGAAAGAAATTAACTATTAAATCCTTATGAACTGCTTACATCCATGATACTTAATTTTAATTAAATATAAATACTTGTCCTTTAAAATATTGATAAACATGAAAAGTAACACATGTCTTTAAAAGACCTTCCTCACATTTTCCATTTATTGTTAATTTAAATCAGTGCATAATTATATAATTTATGTATTTACTTTTTTTGGAAAGTTTCGAAAAGATACTGTAGGTTTTCGCACAATTACTTGGAAAATATGAAGACGGTATATTAAAGACATTCGTTTCGTTTAAACTTTTAGGTACAACGATGGGAATCTTGCCAACACATTTTTGTCAATAAGAATTTTGGAAGAAGCACTCTAACTCATCAGAACCTTGCATGAAGTTTGATTTCTTAATACCCAGGAACAGTGATAAAAACATTTTAAAAAGTGTTGCCATTTCAATATAAAACAAATAAATCCCCTCCCTCAACACCAGAACCTCTAAATCAGGAATTATATGAAATACACAATTTGGAAAAAAAAATAGTGCCTTTTGTCCAGTACAATGAAATGTGCCAAAACATTGGTTGTAATTGGTTCAGCAGTGAAAATGCCGAAAAGGTTAAAAGAACGACCTGCAGACAAAACAGATAGTTATAGGTCATCTGAATGGCTAGGGTGACCTGATGAGAAAATGATATTGATGATTTAAGAAAATATTATCAACAATTATGGATTGTTTAAGTGAAGAATATTAATGTTAACTAAACGTCTCTATTTTAGACTGGAGTGTGTCATCAAAATGATTTGTTTTTATTGCGATATTATTGTGAAACGAAAAATGCATGATACTTAAAAAAATCATAGACTAGATTCGGCTTTCAGAAGCACTCTACACTTTTAAATAATATAAACGGAAATTTGCGCTGGTTCAATAAGATTGTGTATTTTATGAATTATACTGTCTTTGTCAATCTCTTCTGCTAAAATCATTCTTTGCAATATATTTCACGCAAGAAAGTTACGATTCCAGAATTTAAGTTCTAAAAGTGAATTGTTCTCAAGAATTTTAAAAAGTAAATAATCGAGTCAATGTTCGTTATTACTTTTTCAAACTACACTAACTGAAAATAATTAAAAAGAAAGCCAAAATGAATTTACATGTAAGAACATTTGAAAGCCACTCTTTCTAAATGATTTTAGACTTATATCATATTGTCTAACGAACATCTGAAAAACGCGAAGATTAAAGAAAAACCAGCAAAAATCAAAGCAAAGAACAAAAAGCGGAAAAAATTGTATCAGAAATGTAGTCAGACACTCGTTTAATGGCATTTGAATTCTAAAAGATAGATTTTCTACTTCACACATGATATTGAAATGTTTTGCACTTTATGTGAGCAAAGAAGGAAACGATATAATCTATTATGTTTGGTAATCACAGAACGTCGTGTAAGATCGATGAACTATATTGACATTTTTATTCATAATCTCGAAAATGTATGTATCGACAAAGCTAAAATTTGCTTACTTTTATATCAAAAGCTATCAATATATTCAACGCTGCGGGCTTTGATAGAGCAGATAAATACAATTCAAAACCTATTCCTAACTTACACATTTAAACTTGATCCGCCCCTTCAAACGCAAGATGCTATAAATCAAGTCACTAGACGTTGCCTGTAAATTGCACTTCCATTATAACAAAATCTAGATAGTACAATTACTTTTACAAAAAGTTTTGTAAAGTGGCACCGTCGCAAACCACGCGCACGGCCAAAATGTACGATCATCTCCTATTGCGGGGGGAAGGGCTCTATGCAGATTCCAAACCGTGGCTCGAGACGATGGCAGAGCGATTGCTTGTTTGTTTTCTTTCATGTTTTTCACAAGAGGCCTGTGTTGTAATAGCATTACTGTTGCAACTGACGCGAAATGATTCCTGTATCTTCTATCCCTATTCTAAAAGTTTTGCACGGGAAAGAAGCTTTTTATAAATACAAAAATGTATATCTAAACTTCCAGAATTGCCAGGAAATTCACTAAACTTTTAGAGATAGTCATTTTATATACTGTAAGTGAAGGGGTCGGGTGATTAGAACATGCACTTTATTTCAAAGCAACTGTTTATAATCGACCGAAACAAACCTGGCTATGTGTTTTTGCTGATAAAATCGTTATACAAATTGAGATCCGAAATGAAAACCTCTCTTTTTTTTATTTCTACCAATTATTTAAAGTTGTACATTTTTGGTAAGAATATATGCTTAGTAGCGAATTTTTATATTTTTGTGCAGCCTGCAATATTCGTCATTATCGCATGAAATTTGATTGACAACGAAGTTTGGGGCGGTTTCACAAAAGCATTTGTCGGACAAATACTGTATACAGGGTTATTTTCGCCCCGTGTTATTTTCGCACTTTCAAACTGTAAAACAAATTTGTCCTGTTTTAAATTCGCCCAATCATGAGTTCTGTTTAAGAAATTATACTGAATTTTTCGAATTCTAAAATAAAACGGGGGCAAAAATTTCCCTGTATACAGTACTCAGATTATATTACAAATGCCCTCTATCAATTAAGAGTGCAGCGACGTAAATAGACTAACGTGTAAGAAGAAGGAAAACTTGATTTTAAATCTATAAAACTCATTATTCGCTTAGCATATTAAAGTGTTAAAGTTTCCAAAACTTTATTTGTACAAGTAGCAGATCCGTAGTTATTGTGATTTGTTATAATTCGTGCTGAAAACTTAAAAAAATATTACATTATAGATGGAACTTACTCTACGTTGCTTAAATTCTATTTAGACTTCGTTATGGAAATGCAACATAAACAGGGCGTCCTGTTACTTCTCAACCACATTGTGTTTTGATGTGTTTGGAGTTGAACATGTTTAAAATGTGTAAAGACTGTTGGTGAAACAACTGCACTTGCCTGCTGATTAACCGTGTAAAATATATAAAGAGGATATTATAAATCTGCATTCTGCAATATGTTTCATTTTAGTGAAAGGAATATCCTTTGCAATATTCGTACAAGAAGGATATGGAGATAACGAACAGTATTCAATCTCAAAGTCCATAATACAATACAAACTAGGAATAGAGCAAAGAAAAATCCTGACGATTATAAAACTTTCTAGTTAAATTTTCACTGCCCTTACACGTACGTTAGCCTGCACGCCAATTTTGTAAAAGTGGGAGAGATGGACAACTACAAACGTCCGCGAAACAACGAGTAATTCGTTATAAGTGATCAAAAAATATTATGGCAATGTAATAAGTAATAATTTGAACTGATACATGTATATTTTTTCCGTTTTTATGTATCCCGGTATAACAGTTGGGGCAATCTCATCAAGAGTTAGATTTTTCAAAAGATTCATGGTAGTATGAAAGTACCATGAATCAAGGAAGAGTACTGACGTAATCAGTTTGTCACTTCATACAAAGTAACTCTCAGCAACGAACATGTTTCAAGTGAACCAGAAAATATTGTACTCTGTTTTCATTTATAGAGTATACATTAAACATTTAACGTATTCTTCACTATTTTACTATGAATACTTCATTTCTATATTATACTATATATAAGGCATCGCTTTTATCGTGTAGTTATGCGTATACAAAAAAAGTGCAGAACAAACAAAAGTCAGAAAATTCTTCTAATTTTTCTAGAAACGTTAACCTTATCTTATTTTATAAAGAAAGCATGCAAAAACCACATCATCATCATCTGACCTTCGTCACAGGTATATCCTTGAGCACCAACGTCACATCCGTTTGGACAACTTCCGTTCACGTGATTACAATGGTCCCCGTCACTACAGTTACCACAGGTTTTAGTACACTCAAGGTCATATGTACCGGGATCACATTCTGAAAATTATCAAAACGTATACCGCTATTGTACGTTAAATTCTTCTCGTTCATTAAAAAAAAACAAATGTCTTATCAAACGTCGTTACATTCCATTACATTGAATTAATGTAATAACTGTAACATAAAAAATAAGCGTGTAGGCTTTCAGAAAAAGCAAAGAATTAATACATAACAGTATATCCCGTACGAAATTCAGAGACGTATTACGCCTGGATTTTTTGCAAATCCTGGCGTACAAGAGACGTATTCTTAAAAATACGGTTCATTTTCAGGCGTACACGTATTTTTGCCAGAAATACGTCTCCTTTTTTCCAGGCGTAAATTCTAAATCCGGGCGTATTTTCTACTTAGTCTCTTTGGCACAAGGAAATTAAAACTTAGAAAATTTCAAAAGGCGTATTTTTAAAAATTCGGGTGGATTTTTCAACTTAGCCAAAAAAACTTAGTCAACTCATTCTCTTTTTTTTTTTAAGTATTGAGTTGCATAAGAAACATTTTTATTATATTATATAACTTAAACAAAAAAAACCCAAAGTAGTGCATGATTGTACATTACAATATTGCATTTAGTTTGTTGTATTAAATATCAAAGCAATTATTTTTCATAAATTAAACTGATTTTTTCTTTCAGAACTTTTTTTTTAGAACATTATCCCATGGACCTAAAATTTTGTCATTCCCATTTTTTTTTTAAAAATTGATATTATTTTTCTTAACACAAATGATTTCTATAACTGTAAAGTAGATAGTATATTCTTTGAACTTCATGATTAATTGTTTAGTCAGGCTATAAACATACATGTTATTACAATTAAATGTTTTTCTTATAAAATGATTTATATTTGGTATATTTAGATACTCTGTTACATTACCATCAACTTTCACTTCCCTAGCCTAACCTGCTGGGATTGTGCTAATTACTTACAGATGTGTTGAGCATGTTTAGGAACGACTTATCTGTGATGTTGTAAACCTAAGAACGGCTTATCAATTTATATCCGGTTTGTGTACAGCAGTTCTATATCCCACCCTAGTATCTTTTTAATTCATATAATGAATACACCTTGTTTATACATTGATGGAATTTTATTTTTATGTTCTAGCTGTAAACAAAACAGCATTTTTCTTCAAAATTACAAATTGTACTGAGTAGAACTTCCAGAAATCATAAAAGAGTTTAGCTAACTAGGGGGTTGTAAATAACAGCATCTGCATCCAAGTATTTGCGCCAATTTTAAACCAACAGGCAGGTCATGCCAAGAACAATGAGATTAGAGAAAGCCACAACAAAGCACAGATGGAGTAGAAGAGGTAAATATTTTGAAAACATAGCTTAACATTGAAACTTTTTATCTATGAAAATAAAAGACAGCTACATTTGCTTTTGATTTGCAGAGCCAGATGTTAATGATTGAAAATTGGGTCAGTAGTATTTTGAATTACATAAATTATTCTTTTTCCAGAAAATGATTTACATCTAAATCCTTATCACAGTTGGAAAATTAATTGAATGATGAAATGGTCATAAGAGGAGGAGAAAAGATCTTGCAATATTAAGAGTTGACCAGCAGCATTATAAGCTTTCCATAAATGCAATAATGCCAGTGAACTGTAGCCATTGGAAGATTGCATCAGGAAGAAGATGACCGTTTGCAATGCCAGTTATAAAGCATTCAAACTTCTTTTTGTGAATATTTCAATCTACGAAAATGTGATTGGGAAATGTGATGTGAAACGTGAATGACAGAACTGCTCGTGATTTGCATCTTTTATGCCAATTTAGGAGTAAAAAGAATGGCAGGAGTACTCGGCATGATTCTCAAAACTGTGATTCACTGTGATTATTGGAATGTTTCAACTGTTTACTATAAAACTCGATCAGCCTTGGATGTTAAAATGCTGTGAAACGGTTAATATATTCTAACATGTAACTGTGCTTTGAAAAAGTAAATGTAAGATTATGATTTTTTAAATTTTAATGACAATCCTTTACTGATGAATCTCATTCACATTTTATCACACTGAAAAATATTAAGAAAATAAAAGTGATGTATGCTTAGCTTAATTTGTCTAATCTTTTTTAGCATATGTAGTCAAAAATCTTTGTACTAAAGTTGATTGTACATTTATATTCATGCTATAGTTGTAGCTCCCATTGCTGTAATTTAATTAATATTTATTAATTTAATTCAAATCTATTTAAAGCAGGCGTATTTTTTGTACAGGCGTATTTTTTTGTACGGGCGTATTCTTTTATACGGGCGTATTTATTTTGCAGGCGTATTCTTAAGGGTATGCTTGAAATCTAGGCGTAATTCTATTTTTAAAATTTCCAGACGTATTTTGAATTTCCAGGCGTACTCATTTGCATATTTCGGCCAAAAATACGGGAGGATTACGCCTCGTGTACGCCTGTATTTTACATTATACGCCTGGTTTTATATATTCATTTCAATAGAGATTTCCACAAGGATTTTTAGATTAAAATATGCCTGGATTTTTTTAAAAATACGTGACTTAAATTTCGTACGGGCTAGATGATATCTTTACATTCATGCAAACTTGCGTCTTATCGCCTTATACTGTATATATCAGGTGCCATACGTATTAATGTACATATTTTTATTCAATTCAAAAATATATCAACTTCCAATTTTCATTCCAGACATCACACGTGGGCTACCTCGCATTCACGTAATTCTCTCTCTCTCTCTCTCTCTCTCTCTCTCTCTCTCTCTCTCTCTCTCTCTCTCTCTCTCTCTCTCTCTCTCAGGAAGTTTGTATTTACATACGTTCTTCACACCGTAATCCTTTGTATCCAGCAACACATCCAAGACACGTCCCATTAACAATGTTACAATGTCTCTCTTGGCAGTTCTGTGGACACGGTATATCACAGTTTTGTCCATAAACACCTGACGTAGGGCATCCTAATTGAATATCAATTGATATCTATCAATGCATGTCCCTTCTTATGAAATGAGAACGCGTAACATGCCTAAGGAATTCGGAATGAGATAACCCAAATAAAGATCAAAGTAATATAAATTACGATAAATATGTAATTAAAATCATAACGCTTGGATTGATGCGATATTTACACTTGCAGGAAAAGTCACTAATGTTGAAAAATTTTAATTTGAATAACAATTCTAATAAAATTAAATTGTTTTAATTTATTTAATTAAAATCCTAATATAAATCATTTGGAAATATGTTAGCAATATACAAAAGGAGATATTGAACGTATATATATGAATACTTGCAATCGTTGGCTTGACGAATGTACTTGAAATCTCGTTCACTTGTATAATCAATGAGTGCCAATATTTACTAATCTTTTAATAAACTTATTATACATGTTGGCATCAATTGTTTACAAGTGACCTCTTACCATAAACCTGAAGTTCACAGAGTTCATTAAATGCATAAGTAGAATATCCAGCAGGGTAGGGAACTCCTTGGAGTCTCTCATTGTAGTAGATGACATATCGTCCATGTTTTATACATGGTATTGTAGTGGTATTCGGTATTGTAGCCGTGGTGTACATTGTGTCCTTAAAGCATTGAACACCGTCACCTTTGTTGGTGGTGTTCGATATGTAAACCGAGAAGCCAAGGAATCTGTTTGTGTAACCGTTGGTTGCGTCTTGAAAACAAAGAAGATAAATGTGTGATGTTCCAAAACATTACAATATCTTTATATAATTCTTCATATATTCAGAATTAGAAACAATAAATTGATTTTCTCTGTAAGTTTTTGTTTGTTTGTTTGCTTTTTGTTATATCCCTTTAGACAATTTTTCCACTCATTGGAAAAGCCATGCAGAACTTGCCGGTGGAGAGCTGCAATTTTTTTACACATACTCAGCACTAAGGTCGAATGAGCAGTAAGGAATGCTTTTCGTATGCTCATCTACTGCGACAAGGGACCTCAGTTTAAACATAGGACGTTTCGCAGGGTGATGCGAACCCTCTATACAGGAAGATTTAAGTCTTACTCCATGCACGACTCTAAAAAAGACGCTCTAAAACTGCGCCTTTCGAGCAACATCTTTATATTTACACTTGCAAATGTTTTGTCCTATATAACATTACTTGAGTTAGCCGTTTTTACATCCCAATAAAACAAGTTTGGGTTAAGAAATCACATGAAGAATAGCGCGCATGAATACATTGACCCCCTGAGAACTGGGTCACTACTTTTACTACGAACGTAAACAAACTTGGCTGAAATCGAATAAAAGGCGTTGAAAGACAGTGTCGCAATAAAAAAATATTTTAATACATAAATAAAATCTTTTCTAAACATTTTTTTCATATACTCACAGTAACAAAAATTTTTCTTATTCATTTATCATAATACGTACACGTCTGCTTTCAACCCCCTACCAAAAGAATGTCCGAGTTTGGCAATTTTGACCTCTGCAATAACGACCCATTGCTGTATCATCTGTTTGACAATGATATCATGGCCGCTCTGGAACTCCCTTTTATGGCTCCAACAAGCGTTGAAGAGACTGAAGAGGTCGAGAATGAGCTGAAAATGTCTGATATGGAGGGACTTCCTAGCCCTGGTATGCCTGCCCCCCACCCTCCCTACTAAGAAATTCAAGTCCATGTCGGATGAAAATTTGAAACAATTTGAGGATTCCAGACAATCTGTCTCAACAAAACAAAATATCCAGTGGGAAGTGAAACTGTTTCAAGGTACATAATTATTAATACTGCTTTAAAATAACAATAAATAAAACAAGGAATATAAATTATAAACAAAGTGGACCAATAAAAAAAATGACCAATGCTGATATTAATATATCCTTGTAGATAAGGCAAAAGCTTGATCTACGGGTATATTTACAGTAAAACAAAATATTAGCACAAAGGCATACCAGATTTTTCTCTGCAGTCTATAAACAGCTAGATCATTGTATAACAAAGAATTGAAATGTATAGGCCTATAGGCCAGCAGCCTAGCAAGCAAACAAACAAAAACAGAAAAAACCATTAACTAAAATAATTCATTTCAAAATCAATATAACAAATAATCAACTAAACATGCAAAGTAAGAAATAGAACAAAGGGCTACAAAGAAAAAAATTAGTAATTCATCCTGAAGACCTGGAACGTATAAATAAAAATAATAAGAATAAAAAAGAAAGGGAAAGTATAAAAATTATATATATTAAAAGAAGAATATATATATATAAAGGTAGATAACAAGTTTAATCGTAGCAAACGGTTAAAACAAAAAAAATCCACGAAAAGCAAATATGATAAAAAAAAGAATAGAGAAACATAATCTCTCTATTTTTAAAATCTCTTTTTACATTACCCCATGTGATATCGTCCGTCCTATAGTAGATAGTTATATGATGTATACTGAGTACACTTCCTAGATCCACCCACCAGGTTGCTGTTCGTTGGTTTACGCCAGATATCGTACACTCTCCCCCGACAGCTGACCGCCTAGTATACTTCCCATCCACAGCTTTATCTGCTCCCCAATTCAGATTTCCAAGATAAGGATACTGTTGAGTGGCAGGCTTGTTTAAAGCTATGTTTTCTGTAAAAAAAAAAATCATACTGCCAAAACGATTGCTTTCTGTTTCTGGAAATTTCTGAAACTTTTCAACTTTTCATTGAAGCTCGAAAAAGAAGTATACAAAACATTCTGCAGTGGCTGCATGTATGTAACACATGACATATTTATGTTATTTCTAAAGTAGAATTTGATTTTTATGCCAAAGTAATTGATGGTTCAAGGGTATATACATGATGTTTCTGCCCTAATTGTCCATAAACACTTTGATTTTGCCATAACTTTTGAGTAGGCGGTTTTAAGGCATCCTTATCTCACCTGGTTAACATTTGAAATAATTCCTTTTCTTGGATACAAACAGATTTGACCTCTTGGCCTTGACCTTGGAGTTCGATCAACTTTTGTAAAAATTAACCAAACTTTAACCTTGGTCATAACTTTGATTTTGAATAATTCGTACAAGGGCTTTTATATAGATCTCATTTGTGTATTTCTCATAACAAGGCCTTCCCCTGGGTGCAATTAATTTTGGAAATATTTGCCCTTGAACTTTAAGGTTGATCCACATATAAAAACTTAATATTTGTCATATATTTTAAAAGGTTCGTCTTTTGGGTTTTCATATTTCAGATACACTGAATTCATTAACAAATGTCCTTTCATTGGATACATATAACAATATTTTTTATTCTCTTGACCTTGGAATTTGAAAAACCTTAACCCTCACCATGGTCTGCATTAAAGGTGCATCAGTGTTTCACCAACACATCTTGATTTTAAAGTAATTGCAATTTAGCATAAATATGCTCTCTGTAAAACTACAATAATTTCTTTTTTAAGAAGATTGGGGGATAAGGCGGGCGGACTGCCTATAGTGCGACAGATAGGAAGTGAAAATTTTAATCTCAATTAAATCCAAATATTATTTGATATTTCATCTAACATTAAAGTATTCTTTATGTAAAATCTCTACAATTTACAAAAATCTCACAAAAACAGAAAATATTTGCCTATGAAAAAGCTAACACACACTAAATAGAACGAAAACGATCATTTTCTTATACTTAAACAATTTTTGTCCCCCGCTTTCGCGAAAGCGAGGGGACATTAAATCTCATTCGTCTGTCCGTCTGTCAGTCTGTCCGTCACAAAAACTTTAACCTTGCCCATAACTTTTGATTTAGTGGAGCTATGACTTTCATATTTCACGTGTATTTCTTGTGACAAGACCTTTCTTTGGGTACCACCAAATTTGACCTTTTGACCTTGCCCTTGGAGATTGACCCACTTTTACACAAAAATTCCAAACTTTTACTCTGGCCACAACTTTTTTATAGTAGATACTAGGACTTTTATAGCTCACATATGTATTTCTTGTGGAAAGACATTTCATTGGATACCAACAACCTTGACCTTCTGACCTTGACCTTGGAGATTTACGTACGTATTAAAAAACTTTAACCTTGACCATATCTTTTGAACGCTGAGGACTAAGGCTTTCGTACTTCACATATGTAATACTTGTGAGAAGACCTTCCATTGGATACCAACAACTTTGACCCTTTGAACTTGACATTGGAGTTTTAACTACTTTTTAAAAAAACTTTAACTTTGGTCACAACTTTTTAACGGTTGATACTAGGACTTTTATATTTCATATATGTATTCTTTTTGGCAAGTCCTTTCATTGGATATCAACAACTTTGACCTTTTGACCTTGACCTTCAATATTTACGTACTTATGAAAAAACTTTAACATTGACCACAACTTTTGAACAGTAAGGGCTAGGGCTTTCATACTTCACATATGTAATCATTGTGAGAAAACCTTTCATTGAATAAAAATAAATTTGACCTTTTGATCTTGACCTTGGAGTTGACCTACTTTTAAAAAAACTTTTTTTTACTTTGGCCATAACTTTTTAACGGTCAGGATTAGGATTTTCATCCTTCCAAAAATATCAACTTCAATGATAATTTCTAAATAAATGACATATAATAGGATGTTCGTATTAGAGACAATATGTCATAAAAAATAACATCTCATCCACAAAGAAACCGAAAGCGGGGGACCACAATTCCTTGAATTTGCTTGTTTCAATATGAGTGGGTCATTGCTCCATTTATTTATAAATGATTCTAAAAGTTTGCAATAAAATACACATTTTTTGGTTTACAGAAACATGAAGCGAGGACCCACTATTCATTAAAAGAATACTTTTATGACACAATATTCACATCTTTCCGAGAAATACTTTAAGTCAATTAAGTCGCAGGTCATATCACAAACATGATTTTTAAATGCCCAAAATCATCATGAGTGATGTAGCATAGTGGGTTACCGTGTTAGTTTCGAAGAAGTGCTTTGATACGTCGAATTTTAATTGCTAGGGTTCGAATCCCACGAATACCATATATTTATTTTATGAAAGAATTTTTTATGAGATTGTTTTTCTCTCAGAAAAGTTGTTTTCCTCATAATTTAAAAAAACTTCAATAATTAGAAGTTAATTGAATACTCAACTCACATATTGAATATGATTTCTTAATATCGGACTCTATATTCTGCCCGACTGCCTTGTTCCTCAATCTTCGTTGGGGGTCCATTATTATTAGATAGAAAGGAGAATACTTTGAGAACACGACAATAAATAACACTTACACACATAATAAAAGATAATTGTCTCGAATATATGGACTTGTGATATGTCTACGTGTTGTTAAAGTCATGTTTATTACTTTTCATAACACGAACTCCATTGCATGAATACATGTAAAGGTAATTAATATGGCCCCTGTTACACTCAAAATCAAAGCCATCGACATGCATCTTCAAAATATAAAAATAAAAAGTGTTCCCCTCCTTTTTCAATTAGTTGTGGATTATTTCAATTAAATGTGCGAAAGAGATAAAGTTAAAAAAATCGAAAACCTCAATTACCTTTAGAATTACATGTCCTATCTTTTACTGAGCTAAATCCTTTCATGAAAATTCGGAACAGAATAAATTATATATCTACTGTTAATTCCTACAAAAATTAACATTTAATAGCCGCCACTTCAACATGAAAAGAAGGTAAATCAGAGAATTAAACCTAGCCCATACTATCTTTGGGTTTCTGATTTATTTTTATATAATTTCAGGCTACTTTTTAAATCAATGGTTTAGTCATCACTTTTACTAGCTGTAGAAGTTCATTTTTCCCCGTAGTATTAATTTACGATATGTACGCGGTCACAAATTTTGCACGGAAATTTGTCCAAGCGTACTTAATGTAAATGTAAGGCATATAGTGACAGTCTAATAATTCCGCGTAATTTTCTACCCGCGGATTAAACAGAAATTGAGATTCCGCGGAATTATGACCCCGTGGAAAAAAGTATGTCTACAGTATTTCCTGTATTTCAATAATCACATTCTTATGTTCATCCTTTTTGCGGGTTTAACGAAAATCAAAAATCCGCCACCAGACTTATGCCTAAGTCACATTTAAAGTATCAGTCACATTATCCAGCGATGGGGTATACGATGAGAAACCGATGCGTTTTTTGATGAAAATGGCATGGTTGCCGGCCGGGCACCACTAGTGATCGGACGGTGACTGAGGCTATTTTGCGAATCGGTGGGATCATCGGTAGGAAATAATTCGTAGTTAAAATTCAGCGATGCCTCCAACGATGCCTCACATCGCTCCTCATCGGTAACCCAACATCTTTCAAGGATCGGCCGATGTATGGCCGAGCATCGTCCAATATCCGTTGAATCAGAGGTCATGGGGGGGGGGGGGTTGAGTGGTGTTCAACAGATACCTGCCGATCACCGGTCGATTTTCGACCAAACATTGGCCCGTAGTCGACCGATGTACGAACGATGTTCACCAATGTATGAGCGATGTAATATACATCGACCGATTATTCTGGAACATCGTTTTCTGATTAGCAATGCATCGCTGGGCCTTTGTAAGTCCGGCCGGCAACCACGCCATTTTGATCATAAAACGCATTGGTTGCCCATCGTATACCCATCGCTGGATAATGTGACTGATACTTTTAGGACTACTGGGCCGATGTGGACCGATGTTGGGGCATCGCTAACACCACGGATTACCAACGATTACCACCGGTCTACGGCTACCGGCCGGGAAATGTGACCTAGGCATAAGCTGATGGTCGGGGACTAAGTGTTTCTGGTCTTGTCGGCTGAAAAAACATGATCGGTCGACACGAGTATCGGACGACACGGGGAAGTCACATTAATTTCTAGGAACACCGATGACATGGATAAATAACACAAAAAAAAATTTCTTTAGAAATCACTCCTTTTTATAGATCTATATTCAGATAGGTGATGTGAGTAATGCTTGCAAGGCTAAGTGGCAGAATTTTGTAAGATCGGTGGGGTCATCGGTAGGAATTACGCATTGGTTGTCCATCGTATACCCCATCGCTGGATAATGTGACTGATACTTTCAGGACTACTAGGTCGATGCGGACCGATGTCGCAGCATCGTTAACACCACAGATTACCACTGATTACCACCGGTCTACAGCTACCGGCTGGGAAATGTGACCTAGGCATTACCCGTCGGCCGAATTTTTGGACACCCTTTTCGTCAAACGATGGACGACCGGACTTAATAAATTGACTGCCGATGGTCGGACGATGATCGAAGGTTGGTCGAAGGTGTATGTTTCGTTGCTGCGTAAACAGACAGGTGGGACAGTTATTTATATATTGAATACATTACTGGTTTATCATAACTACGTAAAGGAGAAAGGCCGAAAACTTCCATTCTGTGAGAGAAAGAACTAATCGAGGGCCGTAGGCCCGAGATTAGTTCATTCTCTCACAGAATGGACAGTTTGAGGCCTTTCTCCTACTTAAAACATGATTCTCTTTGTTATAAGAATTTTAAAAATGGGAAAAACAGGTAGCACGCAACAATAAATTCATTGTTTACAGAATGGACAGTTTCAGGTAAACTTGGGGTGCAAAGCAATTTGTTGAATAGTGTATCCAGATG